CAACTGCTTTTAGCGAGTGGAAATGACGGAATTTTTTCGGGGTTGTAGTAAGGTTGCCAGGAAAACGGCTATTTTAGCAATTTTTGAAATGCTTCTGATTGACTTTTAATATTACTGATTGCGACCTATTAGTTCAGGCTTTTGAAGTCTGGAAAACTGGAAATATTGACCGGTGGCTGGGTGATGACGGATGAAGCTAATTCACACTACTTCGGGATCATAAGCCAGTTGATTGAGGGCCACGAATGGCTGAGTAATCATATCGGCGAAGGTGAGTGGCCTTTTTTCCGGGGTTGGGTGCAACTGTTTGGTACTGTTATCCACAGCTACCGAAGTGCATGTGGTGAATATGCTAGGCATTGATAAGAGCGTGTTTGAGCGAATTTTTTTTTTTTTTGCTTTCATTTTGATGATGGTGCTTTTTTTATGTGTTTTGTGCTGTGTAACAGCAGTACAAAACGCATATTGTCACGGGGTTGTCTGTGTGTGTGTGTGTGCCCGCAGCAACTTGTCCGCATCTTTCAACTTGGGAACCACAAAAGCTAGGAAACTGAAAATTTAGAGTAACGTTCCTCACCCACGCGCGATCCCGCAAATTTAAATTCAGCCTCCCTGTACCCGCCGGTAACAAGTACGGCCCCGTAAAACTTTAGGCGGGTAAAATTATTATCACGGGACCCACGAAAGCTAGAAGGCTGAAATTTTGTGGGCATGTCCCCTGCCCACACGCAACCCAGAAAATTTAAATTTATCCTTCTCGCGCCCGCAGGTAACACGAACGGCCCCGCGAAAATTTTCACGAGTAAATTATCTCCGGAACCACTGAATATACGAAGCTGAAATTTTAGTATAGTCACCCCCTGCCCACGCTCGACCTTGCCCATTCAAATTATGCGTTCCCGCGCTTTCCGGTATCACCTAAGGCCTCGTGAAAGTTTGGCGGATAAATTATTATCTTCGGAACCACGGAGTCTAGGAAGCTGAGATTTTATGGGTATGCTTCTTGCCCACGCGTAACCTAGAAAATTCAAATTCAGTCTTCCCGTCCCGCAGGCAACATATACGGCTCCGTGAAACTCTTGGCGGGTAAATTATTATCTCGGGGACCACGGAATCCGGGAAGCTAAAATTTTAGAGCAATGACCTCCTATCCACGTACGACCTCGCAAATTCAAATTCAGCGTTCTTACGCCGTTGGGTCTCACCTACGGCCCCGTGAAAATTTTGGTGGGGAAATTATATCTCGGGAACCATAAAAGCCAGAAGCTAAATTTTATGGTAGTGTCTTCTCTCCACATACAACCCTACAATTTTAAATTTAGCTTCCCGCGCGTCGGAATATTACGGTCCCGTGAAAGTTTCGGCGGGGGAGTGAAAATCATTAGCAGGCAGTTTTTCAGTAAACGAAACTGTACAAAACGCATGATCGCACCGGCTGCCCTGGTGCGCGCCGTTATTTATTTATTATTAATTCGTCCCTTCTTTGTATCCAAAGCGTTAATTTTCATGTCTTTGCATAAGTCAGAAGCCACAAGTTAAGACTACTCTCCACAAGGAGCAAAGGCAATCGAAAGTAACCCAGTTGGATGCTGGTGTCAGTAGCAGCCATCGGCTTGCGAAACGGCCGATGGCTTCCTCCTTTGCGAGTTACTTAGAAGCAAGCTGATAGCGACAATCATATAGTCAAAATGTGCATTTGGGCTGAACCATGTGTTTGTGATTGTGTGTATGTATGTATATGTATGTGTGTGTGTGTCGGGGTAGCTGAAAATGGAAATTACGCAAGCTAACCTGCTAGAATTCTGAAAAAATAATGCGCTACCAATGGGGAAGCCGTTTGCCTTTCGCACGTCCTCTGCCGTGATGTTAGGTATAAATTCAGGATTATGAGCGAAAAACCAAATAAGTACGAAGATGAAATTTTGGAAGGTTGATAGACTACAGAATGCGTAAAATTTGTTTTAGCTTCAAATTCACATTGTGATATAAATTCCAGTTGCAGCACTAACCGCTTTAACAGCTCTCGAACTAGATAATGCATAGTTTTAAGTTCTTGTAGCTTTAACTGGTGCCAGGAAATCCACGCATTTTAACGTGAGTTCAAGTCTAAAGGCAGACCGACGTAATAATTTTAGAACGGGCCATGATAAAAACTTAAAAATTCGCTGAAGACTGTCTAGGCCAAAATATCATAGTCCAGCGCAGTCATCTTCCTAATGCATTCATACATTCCACACCCAGATCAGCTGCAGTGCTTGGCCGCAGTGGAATTCAAAGTGATTTCTGTCAGAGTGCCCATTTTTTCTGATTCAGCCTTATGTCTTAGATTATAAGCCGCGGAATCACTGGTCAATTGATCCGTTTGGACTCAGTCCAACCGTTTCGTATTTTATGAAAAAATCGAATTTTTCGAACGGTGTGCTGCAAAGGGTACATTATTCCGTTAAAAAACATTTGGCTGGGACGAAACAGTTGGAATTTATTTGGAGGCAGTTGTGGAGTAAGTTTTTCATTCCACTTTGATTGGATTATGTTTTTTTTTTTTACCGATTCGCCCTCAGTGACCCGTGAAGTGTTGTGGGTGGATGCCCGCAGCACGACCAACATGCGCTGTTCATTGCATTTTGCTTCGCGTGTTCACAATGATTTTTACTACTTAGTTTACCTCATGTGTTTTGTCTAATTGTTTACTGTGGTCACACAATTCAAGCATCCTTCGTTTCACTGTTTCCTCCGTCGCTGCCAACATTTGCCCTTCCGCCTTCGTCGATGACCGCGTCTCATCTGTGTGTCACTGCTTTCTATAATTGGTTTTGAAAAGAGGGTAAAGTCTTTCTAGTCCGGCAATTTACGGGTAAAAACGAACTTTGAAAATCGTGCTAGCCAAGAATAAAAAACAGATAAGCACACATCATACGTGCAAAATTAAATATAGCTTATTTTGGTTGCTTAACTCGCAGGCGGTTTGAACTTCACCTGTTGCAGGGTACTGCTGATAGAAGTTTACTTTCACGATAGTCTACGTTTTAAGATAGGAAGAGTTGAAAGCACGTGATGAAAAATAGGTGAGATAAAGGCAAATGGCCTAGGAGAGAGGAGGGTAATAACAAGTAATCCAGGTGTTGAGGCCGGAATCAGATGATCCAGGTGGACAAGGACAGAAAAGCTGGTTGTAGAAGAGTTTGTTGTGGTATTACATTTAGCCTCTAAAACTTTATAGGAGGAGTAAGGCAATCTGAGCAGTTCATATTTTAGGCATCAGTAGCACAGTGACCGATTTTACGGTCCACGTGATGCCATTCTTCTCGTATGATGTTCCGCACACGTGTGGACCTGACCCGAAGATATGCTGCCAGTTTGATTTCAAGCGATTTCCAGAAAGTGGCGTAAACTGCCCATGGCAAGTACCTCCTGTGGAGATTACAGATATCAATGTAGCGGAAAGGCAAGTTTCGAGCGTTTGTCTCAAAGACTTTTCATACATAAGTGTTGTTGCGGGTGGAGTTCGTCTTGGGATTAGCGGGTCAGTTTACAAATTTACGATGCGGTATTCTTCAAGTCTGGTCTCCAAAAATTTTCTTCTCTTCTTACTTAACAGTTTATGAAAAGCCTGTGAGTGGATGCTGCTGCGTTCTAGTGGTTGGAGAGCTCTGTGTCGATAATCCGCGCTCTCATTGCTGGCGGCCTGAGCTTCACCTCATTATATAAAGTTCAATTGCAGGGCGGCATTGCTGTACGACCAATATCGGAAAAAGGCTCAGCTTTTCAAGACTAATGTTATTTTGGTGCCGCTGGGAGATGATTTTCGCTACGATACACCATTTGAGTGGGAGAGCCAGTTTACGAACTACATGAAGTTGTTCAAGTATATGAATGCACAGCTTCCATGGAATGTGAATGTGCGTCTTCAACGTTTTTTGCCAGCGCTTTTGTTTTAGCACCTTTTTTGCGATTTAAAAAGTTGTATTTTCGAAATATTATTAGTGTCGAGATTGCTAAATTTCTGTCTTTGTTTTGGGACAAATTCAAAAAAATTTTTTGTGGTCAGGGAAAGAGATGAACAGAACAGGAGTGGATCACACTCAGATCTCTGGTACCTGTTTACTGCCCAGGCTTTGTGTCTGCAGAATTGTACTTCTTGTCCGTGTAACCTTAGTTAGTTTTGAAATACTCTATAACTTATCATATTTTCGGAAACAATATCTGTATTTTGTTTCTGTTTCTCTACCACTGGCACTCACAACTGCTTGGACTTTCAGCGAATTCAGATGGCGCTAGCTGAATCTTGGAATGATGCGTCCAAAGTGCTGAGAAATTTCATTCGAAAGTTTAAATATAGTGGCAGTATTACTGCAAAAATGACTCCTTTTCTCCTCTCCTCTCCCTTTTCCTTTCCGCCCCGTATCCCTTTTCATCGCCTCATTCCTTCAGCAGATGTTGATTTTTGCAGATAATGGGGTAAGCGAAGGAAAGTAGACTCGTTCTGTTATGGGCTGCCGTTTTTTTTTTCTGCGATGTGACTTCAGTGATTCTAGGACTTGCTTATTTTCAGGCTCGATTCGGCACGCTAGATGATTATTTCCAGTTGGTTGATGAACGGTTGAAAGA